TCGGTAAAACAGAACACCCCTTCTAAGCCACTTGAAAATTCAAAAATAAAAATTTTAATACCCCTCTAAGGGGGTTTAAATTGAACAAAAAATAAAGTGGCGCCATCTAGCGGTGGCAGCCGGTACTAAAAACTCGGTCAGTAAAACAGAACACCCCTTCTAAGCCACTTGAAAGTTCACTATTAAAGAAATCTACCTTACCGACTGTAGGTAAGTGGCCCAGAACCCGCCTAGCTTAACTACTATTTTTTTTATTAACTTTGTTTGCATTTTAAAGTACATACTTTTACCTGAAAAATGTGTAAATTTCATAAAAATCCATAAACAATATTCCAAAATATTCAAAATTTTATAAAATTAATATTAAAATTCAAAATGGCGTATCTTCAACAATTAAAATTTTTTTTTTTAATTTGGGGGAAAGAAGTCTCTTATATAGAACTATAATCCCACGAAGTTTTGCGAAAATCGGTACACTCTTTGCAAATAGTGATATTTCTGATGTGAAATGCCTCTTCTATAACTGTTACATATCTGTAACAAATCACTTGTAACAGTATTATGTATTTGTTACATATTAGTTACAGAGATAAAAGTTGGGGTATTTTGTGGTACTGACAATAAATCTGAATTCCTCTTTGCTCCATCACGTAAAGACATTTTTCAACTAGATGATTACGACTCTTATATCAGATTCCAAAAATCTAATATGTCAGATAAATTTATTTCTATCCCACATGCACAAAAATGGCGCTTTTAGATAGCTGACGACAGGGAGTAAAGCCACTCATTTGTTCGACCGTATGAAAATGGCGACCATTTTCTTCCATGTGCAAAAGTAACAGCTGATCCCATGCAATATTTTTGCCCAAGGGAGAAAACGGCCGCCATTTTCATACAAGTCGAACAAGTGAATGACTTTTACTCCCTGTCGTCTGCTATCTGAAATCGCCACTTTTGTGCATTAGGAATAAAAAATATCGTAAGTAACACGGGAATAAAGACAGTCCAATTTATTTACGGTGATTTTTGTGACATCGTAAATAAATGGCTGCCTTTATACCCTTGTTGCTTAATATACCATTTAATTGATAGTTTTTATAAACATTGTAGATTGTACCTGGGGGTTTTTCGGGTCCCTGATACCGAATTTGAAGTTATATTTTAAAAACCAGTCTCTGTTAAAAACATATTATGTCAAAATTCAATATGGCGGACAAACTGTTTAAAAATTGATAATCTTTATAATCCTCCATATTAAATTATAAAAATCTGTCTTCAAATTCGTAATCAGTGATCTCAAAAACTCCGTAGGTACAAAATTTCATAAAAGAAATTATCAATTTAAAAAAAATATTTGTCATATTGAATTGAGGTTAGAATAAAAGCCTTGTCAGACGTTATGGAGCAAAATGGACTTCGGAAACGTTATCAAAGCCCCAAACTACATGGGAATAAAATAAACAGGTTAAAAGTACCTAAAAAAGTTTCTTGTAAAAACCACAAGGTCCTTTGCAGAATACACGAATAGGTTAAGTTTGCTTGAGTTTAGTGAGTTTAGTTGAGTTTAGTTTAGTTTAGTGTTTCCAACACTAAACTAAATTTCTTGATGTAATAACACCAAGAAATTCAATATTGTTCGTCAGCTGAAGTGTGTGACCACACACAGTCTAGCTCAGGGGCGGATCCAGGCAAGGTTCTTTGGGGGCATCTGCTTGACGCTAGCTTGATGACCTTTTATGAATAAAATTTTTATTTAAAAAATTCCAGGAAGTCTGAATTCTCGGGCGGGAGGCATGTCACTGTGCCCCCTAGATCCGCGCCTGGTCTGGCTTGTGAATTTCCCAAACTCAGGCGTTTGTGGATAGTACAACCGCCGTTCATAGATGGTGCAGGAAATCTTGTTAATTTTACAAGAATTTTTTCCTTTTGACACTTTTTTGTGGGGCTGTGTAATTTGCAGATTTTATGAACTCGTCTTTTGATCTGATCTTAAAAAGTAATATGTCTTTCCTTTTCTCAATTTTAGGACTGGGCAAAATTGGTAAGTATAGCTTAATTATGATGAGAATACATATTTATTAATCTTTTATTTGTGAATCTCTCCTTTTATAGAAGAAGATATACAGAACTTAAATTTTCATTTGTTTGTATGTTGTATTTTTCAAGTTTTTTATTTTTTTGGATTGATTTTTCGCTCAAATGTATCACTATAGTTTATTTATTTTTATTTAAAAACTCAACGATACCACAATACCACTGTATATAAATAAAGTGTAACACAAAAAACAGCGCTACTAATAAGGATATCATTTCCATACCGTTTAGATTTTGTGATATAAATTTTAAAAATAGACATTTTTCTCTAAGGTGTCGGTAAAATTAAAAAATTAGATAAAATTCTCATTTTACATTTATCTGCTTTTATTTCGAAAAATTTTATGTAAAATTGATAATCTTAAATCACTAATTTTTTACTCTTTTTATGACATTTTTCAGAACCAAAAAAGAGAGGTAGGTATATTAATAAATAAAAAATTTTAATATTAACTTTAGTGCAAAGAAATTAAATATTAGAGTCGCTGCAAAGCTTTATCATTTATATGGTTTCATCTTGGTTATCTTTTATGAACACATATATCGATGTATAATTTTAATTATTCTATTTTTTCATACATTATTATAAACATGAATTTACTGAATAATAATAATTTATTAAAAAACACAAGAAACCTTTTTTTCATATACATTTTTTATATACACGGAGAGAAGAAAGTATTCAATTATACTCAGCCCTAAGTCATAGTTACCAAACAATATGGTGATATTTTCGTTCAACAAAATAAAAAATAAGCTTCTCTAAACAACCGTTTAGTTATTGAAAGCTTTTTTTTTATTAATTTTAATAAATTTGTTTAAAGTTAAATGAATAATTTAATTAAAAATCAGTTTTGTTTGCTTTACTAATCGGACAATCATTTTTACGAATAGGGTGAATGCACCAGTGAATGAACACTCACCAGTGAATGAACACTCGGCGAAAAAGATAAATAACTAAGGTTAAAAACTATTGTTTAATATAAAAATTAGAAATTAATAATTTAAGTGATTCCTTTTATCAAATTATGCAAAAGTTATGCAAAGTTATATTACAATTTTTTTATAATAAAATAAATTTTAAAGGACTTGCTGTTTTTGTGATCTAGGGGAAGAATTCTAATTACACGATAGAGAGTGAATCTAAAATTAAAACGTATATTTTACATAAAATTATTTAATAAAATATGCAAAATACGGTATCAAAAAAATTTTGAACCTTCAAAGTTTTATTTTAAAAAGTTTTTACAACAATATATTGATATCATTAAAAGTTTTAAGCTGTTCAATCACTGGTAAATTTTTATGTCAATGTTCCAGTAAAAAGACAGTGTTCATTTATTGGTGTCACCGGTTTTAAACTGCTGCTCCAGTGAATGAACACTTATTTCAACTAGGCGACGCGCAGACGCAAAATCGAAAACAGCTGTCACAGTAAATTTAAGGTTAGAATGATATAAACAAGTTTTTTCACGTTTTTCACAAACTCGAAGGTTTAAGTTTTTCTAAAATGACATCGGCGAAAAAAAATATGAAAGGTTTCGTTATTCTACACGGAAAAAATTAATTTAGTACATTTTACGAAACTAATTTTGGAATAGCGGATACGGAGAGGAGTTTAGTATAAGATAAAACAGAATCAATAGTAATATATGATGACTGCGTTTCTCGAAAACTCAAAAAAAATTCTATGGAATTCACAAATGATCGGTTGGACGTTCTAATTCAAGAGTTTTGTAAAATGTTTAGCCTGAAGCGCATGCGCCACGGAAAAAAATATTCACGGAGAAAAAAACGAATAAAGCAGAGAAAAGAATTTCTTAATGTACCAATGAGCTCTCAAGACCATTTTTTCTCGTCTTCTATAGGAGATAGATGATTGGTTCGACACATGTGACTGCACTCTACAACGCAATGGTTCGCTTGGATTGGCTTATTTTATTCTGACACTAACTTAACGGAAATACGCATACATATAAACGAATTCTGACGCAACGCACATACAATATAACTCGCACTTGTAGATGAAAGAATTGAGTTTCTTTATATACTAACTGAGGAGATTAAAACTGCGCTTGTGAGAAATGTCAATATACTGAATATTAATTTTTTAAAAAATCATTTTTTTAAAAGTTATACAAAATATTTTATGGTTTTTAAAATAACATTTTTTGATTATAATTAGTTATAAAATCTCTATAAAATTTTTCAATTTTTAGAAAATAATTTTATTCTTAATTTTCAATTATAAATAAATTGACAAAAAATTTTCAAAATTAAATTCAAACTCAAAAAATGTTTATATTAAATTGTCTAAAATTTGAAGTAATAACAGTTAGAACTTGAGAAATTAATATATATATTGTCATCGGTAAATATTATGATAAACTATAAAATTTATTGGAATGTAAATTAAAAGAAATTAATAATAATTAAAAGTTTGGATTACAAAATCACATAAAAAATGTTACGAATTTGGAACAATGAAATGTGAAATACGTAAAAGAAAACAATTATCTAAATGTTACCGGCAGGTAAAGCAGTTCTCTTTTTCCTTCCACATATTATCTCTATATACAGCAGACAAGTTAATACCGACGCGACGAGACAAGCTTCAACATATCTATTTATAACGCGACTTTTGGTACACCCCATATAGAATTTTACGAAACTTTGTGTTCGAGAATTCACGATAGACAGCGAAGTGGAAACTCAAACCACGCGTTTTTAGATTGCACGAAACATTTTTACCATTTTCTGATAAAATGTTCACCAGAAAATACGAAACATTTCTACATTCAAGCTTGTTTTATAAATTACAACACTGGTTGCAGTTTCTCGACAATTGTTCTGCTTAAAGTAGTGAAAGTTTCTGGGTTTTTGAAAAACTTCGTCAAGGAATCTTAAATATCCGCTAGTGCGAAATTAGTTTCGTAAAATCTGCTGAACTTATTTTTTCCGTGTAACGAACAGTTAAAGAACGCAATTGAAGATGTTGAGAATAAAACTTTTTCTTTAAATGTTGCAAGTAAAACTTATAATATACCAAAGAGCACTCTCTCGAAGAAATTAGTTGAAAAGGAAATTTCTAAAGGTAAAATGGGCCCTTCTCCAATTCTTTTAAGTCATGAAGAAGAACGCATTAAAAATTGGATTTTAATGAAAGCAAAACTAGGTTTTCCAATGCACCCGGAACAGGTTATGGACGCAGTACAGAGTATTTTAAAAGAAACTGTCAGGAAAAATCCCTTTAAAGATGACAGACCTGGAAAAAAGTGGTTTTCATTATTTCTTAATAGAAATCCAGAAATTGTTTTGAAGAATGCGGAAGTCATTTCTAAGGGACGAGCTTCGGTAACGGAAGAAATAATTCGACAATGGTTTTTAGAGTTAAAAGACTACTTAAAAAGTGAAAATGTTTTAGATATTTTAGACGATCCAACTCGAATATTTAATTTAGATGAGATTGGAATGCAAACCTGCCCGAAAAGTGGAAAACTTCTAGGAGAAAGAGGCAAAAAAAACCACTATATAATATCTCCAGGTCAGGAAAAGCAACAATTGACAGTGTTGTGCTGTTATTCTGCAAATGGAGAATATGTAAATCCGATGATAGTTTATCCTTACCAAAGACTCCCCAGTCACATCATGGATACTATGCCTGATAATTGTGCTGCTGGTCGAAGTCCTACAGGTTGGATGATAAGTGCTACTTTCTACGAGTTTATTGCAGACATTTTCTATAAAAAAATTATGGAACGACAAATTCAGTTCCCTATTTTAATTGTTTTGGACGGTCATAAATCTCATTTAAGCCTAGAATTGCATGAATTTTGTGTAAAGCATCAAATTATTTTAGTTTGTTTACCACCAAATGCTACCCACATTCTGCAACCTTGTGATGTTGGTATATTTCGTCCTCTGAAGCTCGAATGGAAAAAGGTGGTATTGAAACTCCAACAAGATTCCACAAAATCAATTACAAAAAGTAATTTTGCTCCACTATTTAATGAAGCTTTCTTGAAAGCTACCAAAGTTGAAACGATTAAAAAATCTTTTGAAGTATGTGGCTTATACCCGTTCAATGCTGATAAAGTTGATTATTCGAAATGTATTTCAACAAGACGTAAAGAAATAAATCAGTCTGCTACTTCTGGTATTGAATTATTAGAAGATGATTTAAGTTTTCAAGAACAAATATTATCTAGAATAGAACTTCAAGTACCACCAGACATGCTGGAAATTTTTCTCAATGCATATCATGAAAATACGGAGCCCCCAACGGAAAAAATTCTTTTTTCAATATGGAAGAATCTAATGGACGATTCTGTAAATATAAACAATCACAAAAATCTCAATGAAATCCCTGTGAACGAAATAGAAATTCAAAATCAAATAAATCCACTAATTGAAAGTGAACAAATTGCCAGCAACAGTGACAATTTGTCTAGTAAAAACTCTGATTCATTAGTTGATCTCAATATGAATAATCTTGATTCTCCATCTGTTTGTTTACAAGGTGAATATTTCGATAAATTAAATTTCACTTATAAATATTTAAATTTATTTTTTATTTAAAACTTATTTTCTTTTCAGATTTAAGACTCCCAGAGAAATCTACAATCGAACAATTATCTAATCAATCAAACTTAAATGAATGCGTCGAAGCAAGTAAAAATCTTTTCTTTTTACTTTTCTATTTAGAAAAACAATTTCTATCAAAAATGTAATATATTTTTTACTTTAAGGTATTCCTGTGATAGATCTTTGTGCAACCAGTGATGAATTGAACAAAAGGAATCCATTAGCTGATATAACAAATAAAAATACCGTAGAAGATGGCGCGGTATCTAATTCTAAACTTGACAAAGTCATTGTAAATCGAGAAGAAATTGATTTGATTTGGAAAACGCATTTACATTTTCCGCGCATCGAGAACAGTAATAATAATAAACGTAAAAAAGAATCTCCTACTGTATTTGCAATTACGTCAAAACAGTGGAGAGAGAAAGAAGATGAAAAAATAAGAATTATTCAAGAGGAAAAATTACTCAAAGAACAGAAGAAGGAAGAACGTTTGGCCAAAAAGCTGTTAAAAGAACAAGAGCAAAAGGAAAAAAAGAAATTAAGAGAAGAAAATAGATTGAAGAGAAAACTCGAATTAATTGAAAAAAATAAATCTAAAAAAAAGAAAAATTAAAAAAGGAAAATATGGTCAAATTTGCTTTATAGATAGACAAATATTACATTGTTTTCTACTTGACTTTCTTACTAAACTTTCCAAAAAAAATTTTTTTACTTAAAAACGACTGATTAGGTTAATTTGTTACTTGTTTAAGGTTGTTGGTTTGAATAATATAACCTTCGATTAAATATTATTAATAAGAACAAGTTGTGCAATTATCTCAAAAGATTCATAATTATGGTGCTAGTCCATATATATTTAAGAAAAATATGTAATGTAAAAAAATGTGATATTTTCAAAAAGAAATAAAAAGAATTTTATTTAATACTCTTTGTATAATTATAATATACAATACATATGTATTGTAAAATCTATACCTATTAAAATAGTATGATATAGTCACATATAGTAATTTAATTACTCTATATTGTTTTAATAATAGTGCTTAATAATTTATAATCAAATTAGTCATTTGAGGTTAGGTACTTAATGATTTAAAAAATCAAGGTGTTCATTCACTGGAGCACTGTGTTCATTTACTGGCTTAAGTGTTCATTCACTGGTGTTTTCACCAATAATTTATATTTTTATTTATTATTAATTGTTAGTTATTTTATTTAAAAAAAGAAAAATTTTATCAATAAGTTGAAGTATTCTAGAATATAAAAATATAGTTCTTAAGTGCAATAGAACTAGTATTTAAGAGTGAAAAATATACAAAGTTAGGAAAATCACTAACTGTTCATTCACTGGTGCATTTACCCTATGTTTAGTTCGATCGACTAAAAAAAATGGAACGCCTTTTTGTAACCTTTGTCTAATATTAATTTGTCAAAACTTAAATTTTCTTACTAAACGCATAATAGTACAACCTGTAATAAGTGATAACCGCATGTGATAACTATAAGGACGGGCGCAAACAGAAGAAGGTTGGTTAGTGATTCAAACGAGATACGAAATAAGTCATAGATAGACATCTATTATAAAATTGTGCCCAGACAGGATATGTATTGAATGAATTTTTGAGAGCAAGGTTTAATTAGCATTTGGATTTTTAATATAATAATTTAAAACATAATTAATTAACGATGTACCATTGATTGTATAGATATTTGATGTAATGAAAGTATATTGTTAATAGTACCTATATTTGACAATTAATTTATAAAATAAATAATATTCTTCGACAAAACAGGAAATTATTATAATAATTATGTAAAGAACTCCATCAGATTCTTTAACTAACTTACAAACCCACTATAATTCTTCTCTTTATGTAAAATTATATATTATTTCATGTCTTCCATCAAAGTAAAATTATGATAATATAAAAGTACATTCTTTTCATTCAACAAACAAAAAATTTATGGAAAAACTGTTATATCTTTCAACTTTACATATTTTACACTTTTTTTTCTACAATATTATTCTGTTTAATAGAAATGCCTAACAATTATTTTATTATTTAATTTAATATTAATCTTTTTATGTAATTGAAATATTTTGTATATTTTTATTCTAATATTAAGAATTAACATGCCTTTCTCTTTTTCTATATCATTAGGAGATTCAGATAAAGGTACGTATAACCATAAACAAATAAATATGTTCAATTCATTCATCAGTGAGCGTTATTTAAAAAGTCATTAGTTTAAATCATCACTTAGCATTACCTTAATTATAGTTTAAATTTATTTAAATACTTAATTCACCCTGATGCTTTCCTTCAGGGAGACGCATGCATATCCCCTAATCGCCAAGTCGTCGAATGATCAAATAGTCGAATGCCAAGTAATCGAATGGACAAAACGTCGAATGCTAAAAACATCGAATCGGCATTTAGTCGAATGCTTAAAACATCGAATTGTCAATACGTCGAATGTTTAAAACGTCGAATTATCAATTCGTCGAATGTTAAAAATATCGAATCGTCAATATGACGAATGTTCAAAACGTCGAATTATCAATTCGTCGAATGTTAAAAACATCGAATTGTCAATACGTCGAATGTTCAAAACGTCGAATGATAAAAACGTCGAATGCTAAAAACATCGAATCGTCATGTAGTCGAATGCTAGAAATATCGAATCTTCAGTTAATCGAATGCTAAAAACATCGAATTCTCAATTCGTCGAATGTTCAAAACGTCGAATGTTTAAAACGTCGAATGCTAAAAACGTCGAATGTTCAAAACGTCGAATGCTCAAAACGCCGAATCATCATTTAGTCGAATGGTAAAACCATCGAATAGTCCGTTCGTCGAATGCTTAAATAGTCGAAACGCCATCTGTTCGAATTATCAAGTAGTAGAATGGTAAAGTTGTCGAATGTTCAAAACGTCGAATCGTCATCTGTTCGAATTGCCAAGTAGTAGAATGGTAAAGTAGTCGAATGGACAAAAAGTCGAAACGCCATCTGTTCGAATTATCAAGTAGTAGAATGGTAAAGATGTCGAATGTTCAAAACATCGAATCGTCATTTAGTCGAATGCTAAAAACATCGAATCTTCATTTAATCGAATGCTAAAAACATCGAATTCTCAATTCGTCGAATGTTTAAAACGTCGAATGATAAAAATGTCGAATGCTAAAAACATCGAATCGTCAACATGTCGAATGTTCAAAACGTCGAATTATCAATTTGTCGAATGCTCAAAACATCGAATTGTTAATTCATCGAATGCTTAAATCATCGAATTTTCCATTCGTCGAATGTTCAAAACGTCGAATGATCAAAACGTCGAATGCTAAAAACATCGAATTCTCAAATCGTCGAATGCTCAAATAGTCGAAACGCCATCTGTTCGAAATGTCAAGTAGTAGAATGGTAAAGTAGTCGAATGGTAAAGTAGTCGAAACGCCATCTGTTCGAATTGCCAAGTAGCAGAATGGTAAAGTAGTCGAATGTTCAAAACGTCGAATGATAAAAACGTCGAATGCTCAGAACATCGAACTGTTAATTCGTCGAATGCTCAAAACGTCGAATGATAAAAACGTCGAATGCTAAAAACATCGAATCGTCAAAAGTTCGAAAAAGATCTTTGTTTTAAGTTAATGTCTACTGAAGACAAAGAACATTTTCGAACTTTTGACGATTCGGTGTTTTTAGCATTCGACGTTTTTATCATTCGACGTTTTGAGCATTCGACGAATTAACAGTTCGATGTTCTGAGCATTCGACGTTTTTATCATTCGACGTTTTGAACATTCGACTACTTTACCATTCTGCTACTTGGCAATTCGAACAGATGGCGTTTCGACTACTTTACCATTCGACTACTTTACCATTCTACTACTTGACATTTCGAACAGATGGCGTTTCGACTATTTGAGCATTCGACGATTTGAGAATTCGATGTTTTTAGCATTCGACGTTTTGATCATTCGACGTTTTGAACATTCGACGAATGGAAAATTCGATGATTTAAGCATTCGATGAATTAACAATTCGATGTTTTGAGCATTCGACAAATTGATAATTCGACGTTTTGAACATTCGACATGTTGACGATTCGATGTTTTTAGCATTCGAAATTTTTATCATTCGACGTTTTAAACATTCGACGAATTGAGAATTCGATGTTTTTAGCATTCGATTAAATGAAGATTCGATGTTTTTAGCATTCGACTAAATGACGATTCGATGTTTTGAACATTCGACAACTTTACCATTCTACTACTTGATAATTCGAAGAGATGGCGTTTCGACTTTTTGTCCATTCGACTACTTTACCATTCTACTACTTGGCAATTCGAACAGATGACGATTCGACGTTTTGAAAATTCGAAAACTTTACCATTCTACTACTTGATAATTCGAACAGATGGCGTTTCGACTATTTAAGCATTCGACGAACGGACTATTCGATGGTTTTACCATTCGACTAAATGACGATTCGGCGTTTTGAGCATTCGACGTTTTGAACATTCGACGTTTTTAGCATTCGACGTTTTAAACATTCGACGTTTTGAACATTCGACGAATTGAGAATTCGATGTTTTTAGCATTCGATTAACTGAAGATTCGATATTTCTAGCATTCGACTACATGACGATTCGATGTTTTTAGCATTCGACGTTTTTATCATTCGACGTTTTGAACATTCGACGTATTGACAATTCGATGTTTTAAGCATTCGACTAAATGCCGATTCGATGTTTTTAGCATTCGACGTTTTGTCCATTCGATTACTTGGCATTCGACTATTTGATCATTCGACGACTTGGCGATTAGGGGATATGCATGCGTCTCCCTTCAGGTTTGACGGCATTTTTAAAAGTCATGACACATCTATCAAAATGTTGTTAGTTCGTGATGTATGAGTTCGTTCATACGTCACGAAGTGACTCAATTTTGATAGGTATATGTTACGGCATTTTAAAACGCCGTCAAACCGAAAGGACAGCATCAGGGTGTATTATGATTTTAATTATAAACATCACTTTCTGCATTTCAGTTGGATTTTTACAAGGTAAGTGACAAAAATTATTATCGAATTAAAGGAAAAGTCCAATAATCGACTTTTCATTGTAATTTCTACTTGATTTTAAAGATTGTCATTTTTTCAAAAATGGTGATAATTACTGTTGATTTAATTAAAATGACAATCAATCCTCCACAATGACGTTTTTCACAGCTATGACGGATCCTCCAAAATGACGGTTTTGTTGAGTTCCATTCTCCATCACAATGCAATGGGCTGGCTTTACTTGATTTGAGCAACTTTTAGTTATAGAAAATCCCATTTAAACTTTAACCCTTCGGTGGCACGGGTTAATATTGATCGATTGGACTGTTCTTGTGCATAGCTCATTTTTTTCACATTCTAAAGCAGATTCAGCCCGGCGACCTAAGAAATTCGAACTTTCGCAAAATAACGGTCACCCTAGTGTGTACCCCCCCCTTGGTTTTCACTATTCTTGACCTAGTAGACTTTGCAGTTTTGCTTTTTTTTATGTATTTTCGTGTGTAGATTTCAGGAGAAATATAGCGAACATGTTTGGATTTGATCTTCATATTTTTTTCAGCGAACGAATCGAAGTTTTTAAAAATTCCATCAAAAAGCATGTTTTTAACCCTAGCGCTCAGTTTTTTACCTAGAGAGCTAAAAATTGGTACACCT